ATTGTGGTTTAATCGTTAATATATTGATCATATGTTATATAGGGTGATGTCGAAAATATTTAATTAAATATTTTAAATATGTTTTTTTTTTGTTTTGTAATTATACCGTTTCAAAAAGATAATTAATTAAAACTCATACATATGTTATACTTTTCATCTCTCTCTCTCTCTCTCTCTCTCTCTCTCTCTCTATATATATATATATATATATATATATATATATATATATATATATATCAAAACACTTCAACCAAAATTCATTTAAAATCTAATATTTCAAATGTTTTTTAATAATTATTGTAAAAATTTCAACATGTGTTACTTAATTGATTGATTAATAAAAATATTAATGTTTTGAAACTCCTAACTCTTAAACTTATATTATTTAATATGTTAGTTAACTAAAATATTTTTTTTACATAAAGATAACATTTTTATGTTTAGTTACTCATATTTGTTTATCTAATTAGAAAATAAACTATACATAGAATGACTACTTCAATTTCACATAAGAATCGATAACACTAGAGAGATATGTTGTAATCAACCGGTGGTAGAAGATCCACATATCCTTTTTAATTATTTATATTAATGTTTAGTAATATCTATTTTATATTCCTATTCCTGTTAATTTTTTAGGTACAAATTTAGGAAGAGGATTCTCGGCGCACCAACATAAAGTCAAACGTACGCCTTGAAAAATATGTAATTAAAATTAAATATCATATTTACTAATCGCCTTATTTTAAAACTCTTGATGACATTTATGTATAATGATATGTTTTGTATTACTTCATTCTTAATTTCAATGTTTAATATTTGAAAGTTCATATATGAAACCTTGGATGTTTTGGTGCAATATAAATAGTGTAATACAAAGTTTATTAGTTCAATAAACAACTTATTTCTTATTTTATCCAAAAAAATATTAGCAGACATAAGAAAAGTAGATCATATTTATGTTATACAAAAACTTATAATATATATTGGATATTATAAAAGTAAAAGTAAATTTTATAATGTATGAACTATACTAGATAGCATCAAAATATAAATTGATAGATTTTATATTATTTGATAATTCGCTTAATGCCTAAAACATGACTAAAAACGTAAATTTCTAACATATTTCTATTTTTTTTCATAATTATTTTAACCACTTAAATGCATTTTTATGCAACGCGCGAGTTTACACCTAGTTAAACAAATAGAATCACATTAATCAATTTAGAATAGAGAATTAATAGAATGACAAGTGACATCATATTAATTAGGAGGTCTAATATTGTGATACTTGGCAAAAAAACTACTCTTTTATTAGTATAAGATATATATATATATATATATATATATATATATATATATATATATATATATATATATATTTAAAAAAAGAATTTTTAGATTTTTCCATTTATTTTGCATTTTAAAATTATTTTTTAGAATATGTCAGTGTAATATTCTATTTAAAATATTTCATGTATTTTTCAAAAAAAAAAAAAACGGGACTTTTTTTTTATTTTTTTTAGTTAATTCAAGTTCCGAAAATAATATTTAAAAAAAGAATTTTTGGATTTTTCCATTTATTTTGCATTTTAAAATTATTTTTAGATTTGATCTTACGGTCTCAAAAAATTAGAATGGTCTCAACTAAACCTGAACCATAATGAAAACAAATTATCGGATATTAATTTTCGTCATTTTAATATGTAAAAAAACAATTACTATTTTAGTGATATATTCTAACAAAAGTATTATTTATTAAAATATAATATTTATAATATTTTTATTAGAATATTACTATATGTAATGTTTCAAAATGTATTGTTATAATTATAATTAGTACTCATTATAAATAATATATCTGTTAGAATATTGAACTAGACGGTGAATTTTTATTTGTTTGTTTATATCGAAGATGATGAAAATCAATGCAATAAAATTTAGTTTTCAATTTTGATGATTAACATTCAATACAAAAATTTTCTTTGAAAAGAGATTATTAAAATATACTTTGATTTCGTAAAGACTATCATTTGTTGCCAAAACCAAAATCCTAAGTAAAATAATTTTTGGCTTTACAATATTATGATTGTAAAATCAAATCGAAATATTAAGATCCTACAAAAAAATGGCATAGTTATATCTTTAAAACATAAAACATGAAAACTGAACTTTGATTTTTTTTTTTCCAGTCAAATCATCATGTTATTGAAGAAAGACATTATTCTTAGCACTAAGAAGTTGCAAATGCAAGACAAAGAAGAGTGAGTAGGTGACAAAGAACGCATAACCTTTTTCTATTCCATAACTTCAATCTTGATCTTGCTACATGATATTGCGTTCAAATTTTGAGTTATTTCTTGATTTTTTTTCTTGAGGTTCTTGTTAATTATTCGTCCGGTTTTTTAGGGTGCATATGTTTCTTGAGAGGATGAAGGGAGAAAAAAAAATCATACGATCTCAAATACATATTATGCCTAACTTGATCTTAATACGATTTGGCTCATTTTTCTAAGATGTGGTCGTAGGATCGTAATCCTACAACAAGTAGTCTGAGATGTTAACAACTTTAATTTCAATGGTTTGTCTATATGACAACTAGCTAACAAAATAAAAACCAAGTATGATTCTATTATATGAAAGAGGTTGCTATGTATTTGTTCTTTATTTCGATCCCTTTGTATGATTCTATTATATCCGTTTGCAATGATGAGAGAGAGAGAGAGAGAGAGAGAGAGAGAGAGAGAGAGAGAGAGAGAGAGAGAGAGAGAGAGAGAGAGAGAGAGAGAGAGAGAGTTACAACAAATACACTATTTATTATAATCAAATGACGAATTTGGAGGCTTTGATTATTTTTAGCCAATATTAAGAGTAACTTATTTCAAGTGTTTTTTTATAGTTACTACACTAATATCATGTTTTTATAAATTTCAAAATACCTTATTTATGTTTATAATCTCGTATTTGTAAGGAACTAAAGATGTAAGTGAGCTGAGCTACTCGGATTGACTCGTTAAAAGTTCAAGTTAAATGAACTTGAGTTCACTTTGGACTCATTTATTAAACGAGTTTAAGCTTCGACGAGTGAGTTAGGATAAGCTTGCAAGACTCAACAATCTCGGGCCTAAACGAGCCTAAATGAGTCCATGTCTAAATGAACCTCTATATATAATATTTTTAATTTTTTAATTTTGTTATCATTTTGTGGTAGATAAACATACATAATAAATTCATTTTGAATTGCAAACTATATAAATTAACCATTACAATATTCATGTCATAAACCATTTGATGTCAATCAATTCAATGTGAAAATGCTCGGCAACCTTAAGATATTGCGTCGAATTGCAAATAACATCAACAAAAGCACTTGACTAACATTCTGTCAAAACCAAAGATAAATGCAAAGTTGGTTTTTTTTTTTAATAATGGAACGTTATTGTGGATTCTGTTTAAAATGTTTTGTGTTGCTAGCCTAATTTTAAGAAAGTGGGTCTAAAAGATAAATTCCAAAGTAAAAAAGAAAGTTAACATTTTACATTAATTTTTGGTTTGTTTAGGCTACTCAAGCTCGAGTTGAGCTTAAGCTCAATTAGTTTTGCTTACTAAACGAGTTGAACCCGAGTCAGGCTCGAGTTTGATAGATTTTTTATAGGCTAAGCTTATGTGTGGTTGAGCTCAGGCTTGACCGAATTGACTCGGTTCGACTCGTTTACAATATGAACAACAAATTAACAATGGAAGGTTGAAATATATTTTTAACCATATTTGAGATTTTTATGGATCATATGCATGCATCCATGTGTATGTATGTATGATGCATTATAACATTTAGAATCTAGGAGTAGGGGTTCCTAGGGTAAACCAAAAGCAACCACATGATGATTTCATACCTTGCTTGCATCCGACTATCCGAGCATCTAAACCTAGCTAACCAAGCTATCCCATACCCTTTTCCCCATATCATTATCACTCCCCTCTCATCCAATTCTTCTTCATTTTCACACCATGGGTTTGGTCATGAGCTTCATGGGGAAAGGTAAATATTTTTAGTATTGCTATTTTTTATGAAATTTGGTAAAAAAAAAAAAAAAAAAGTTATAATATTATGTATGTTTTGGTAGGTTTGCCAACTACCCAAATGTTGAGTCTGGTGATGGGCACACTCTACAGCAAATTCATCGAAAAAGAAATCAAGACCTTTGATGACTTCCATTTTGCCATCCTTGATATGTTCAAGTAATAATAATAATAATAATAATAATAATAATAATAATAATAATAATAATAATAATAATAAAATCCGTGTGTTTATTTTGTTTTCATTTATTTATTAACAAAAATTCATTCTAACTTCGTTTAAATGCAGCACAATCAATGCAGCATTGCCGGGTAAACACTACGATGTTCCACCACCCAACCAAGTCCAGGTAACACAATTTCTCTCAATACCTAAAATATAAAATTGGGCTAAACGCAAGAAAAAAAAAATCTATTTTCATTTTATTTTAAATGAGCAGGACATTTTCAAAAAATGGGAAGGAACAAAAGAGGCATCAGAAAAGAAGAAACTATTCATTGATTTCATGAAGACAAGTGTAAGCCTAAGCAAGTTTGATGACTCAACTCTCATCACCGGACTAGTTACGCCGCCAGCCGCCATGGCGGCAAAACGAGCGGGCGAAAGCTTACCGCAGCTGAGCATGATCAAAGTCGTCCCGGATGTCATATTTGTGCCTGCTGCAACCGTTTTGGCTCTCATCTCAGCTAAGCTCTCCAAAAAGATGTTCTTAGGAAATGTCGCATCATAATTATCAAATTACTGTATTTCCAAACCCAATCCCTCTTATTTAAACATTTTACTTTGAAAAATCTTAACCGACATTGTATCTTATCTCCTAAAAAACATATACCATATATAATTAATTATATATATATATATATATATATATATATATATCTTCAAAAATTGTACTAAAAAGACAATAGTATTGAAAGTTCGTATCTTCCACCACAAAGTTATGAAGCTTTTTTATTCACAAGAAAAAAAAAAAACAGGTTAGGGGATGTACAAAAGATGATATCATCAATCATTCTTAGGGCCTAACCCGAGTTTCTTCGGGTCCATAGGCTCGACCCACTTTTTCGTCTTGCTCTGCTCGCTCTCTTTTTCTTGTTTTTTGGCGCGCTTAATTTCGAAACCGACCGGATTTTTAGAGCTGGTTCTTCATTCTGGCTTGAAGAGTTTTCAGAAGCCAAGGGCGAATCCGTCTTTTTGCTTATTTCTTCCTTGGCTGACTCCAGTTTCTCCATTGGATGAATCTTTACTCCCCCAGAATCCGTTTGTGGCTTCTTTGCTCTGCGGTTGTATATCAGAATCCCATCCGTACTCTACAATAAACAAAAAATACAAATCCAAATTAATGTTTTGTTACTACATTATTCACATCCATGAATCTAGTTAAAAAAGACATAAACGCCCTCCTCATCCTGAACACACTCACCCGTTTTCTTGCGTCAACAGGAGCCTCTTCCATTGGTTTATTCACATCTTGAAGACAACTCCCCTCTCCATCATTCACACCTTCATTTTCAAGTTTCACCATATCATCATCATCAACATCAACATCAGTGTTGAATTTCATCAACTGAGATGCAAACGAAGCAACTGCAGATTGTCCACTTTTACTTTTTGGAAACTTTGATGTCAACACATTATTGGCTTCATGCAAGTTGATCTCCTCCATGGATGGAAACCTTCCAGCATTTTCAGTCATAATAGTGTCAAGTTTTGTAGCCATGTCACCCACTCGTGTCTCTGCAACTTCAATCTTCCAAAGAAGATGTTCCAATGAATAATCATCTCTGAAATCAAGAGATAATAGTTCATCTGGAACCCTAAACTCATTAACAACATTCTTGTCAGTGGAAGTAGCTGCCACTAAAAAACAATAAAAGAATGAAACTTTTAGTCCAAATGTTTAATGAAATCATAATAGAGATTAACCATGAGTAATTTCAGTTACCTGAATTAGTTTGATCTTCATCCATTGTCACAACACCCTTATCAGTAGACTTTTTAGTAGCTGCACATGAAACATATCAAACACTATTATTACATTGCTTTTTTATTTAGTTATTTAAAAAAAAGTGAAAAGCTAAAAAGGGTATGTACCAAAATATGAAAATACAGTATGCTGTGACATGTATAATTTGGCATCCACCTCTTCATGTTTCCTTTTCTTCCTCTTTAAAGGTTTCTCTCTATGAGAATCATGAATACATGGCATTGACTTTGAACAATGACCTTCTGATTCAAAGTTTTTGTACTTTAACTGTTTTCTTTGATAATCTTTTTCAAGCTCTTTGTCATATTTCATGGCCTGTGACTGAAATTTCTGGATCTGTAATTCAAGCCATTTACAACGCCACATAATAGGTCGTATAAACTTCCTCCAATCAGATGTCACCCTTTTCTTCCTGAAAACTTATCATCTTTTTACATCAAAATCAAATACTTGATAAAGCCCCAAAACTATCATAATCAAACACATGAGTATCTGTTACCTCGGCATTAGTGCAGCATCCCCACGTAATTCTGACATAACTTCATTGTCATCTTCATGTTCATGAATCTCAAGATCTGTAAACGTTTCATCAAAAGAACTTGAAGTGGCAGTATCATCATCCTCACATTGAGAATGATCAAAAGCATACTCATGATCATTTGTACAATCTATTATGTCAACCTCTACATTCTCATTAATACAAGTTCCCATGCCTTCATGCTTATTTTCAGGTATTATGTTTTTATGTTTCTGTGTTTGCATAGCAGAGATATGGTCTTTACTAGTTGAAGCTTCCATTGTGGTATCTTTTCTTCCTTTAAGGTCCAGAACAGGACCCATGTTATGATATTAGACAGAAGAGATCATTCTTGTTTTAAAGATGATTATCCCCCTGCAGCAAGAAAACACAATGTCATGTGGTGGAAAAACTAAAAGGAAAGTGGATAGAAAGTTACACACAATACATATCAGTACAATTCTTTATTAGATTCCAAATTAGTACAACATAGTTTGAATTCCATCAGAAAGAAAGAAAGATAATCTTCTGAATTTAAAATCTGCTTGGAGCAACATGAACATGACATTTCAGTGTTCTCAATACACCATTGTGTCAATGATCAAAAAGGGGATCTAACAGCAAGCTTTCTGTGGGAATCAAACATGTTAATTGCAACTTCAAAATTGATAAGAGATTAGAATACTTGAACTACAGAAATTCTGATTTACAAGCACTAAAAATGCAAAAATGTTTGTGGCAAAAAACCAACAGATCCAGGAAAATTTTGCCACTTAACTACAAGGTTTCCCTTCAAACATCAAAGTGAGGTTTTTTAATGGAACAGGAGAATTACAGCACATCATATCATGCCTCTATGGAAATAGCGAAAAAAAACAGCATAAAATTGGTTACAATGCCACATATCACAAAACCCATTTCTAAATTAGGGTTTCGTGTGAATTAAATTAGGGTTTTCAAAGTTTCAGCAATCAAGATTTGGATGGCTTACCCTGAAAATAAACGAAAGAATCAAATTGATACGATCAACCAAGCTTACTGACTATTTGAACAGATGGATTCCAAATCTAATCTTTTCTGTTTCTCTTTGAATTATGGTGAAAACAAAAGAAAGAAGTTTTTCCAACTATACTTACTTGGTCCCTGGCAGCGTGGAGGGCGGCGAACGGTAGTAAATGGTGGCAGTGAAGTCGGAGGAGAAGTTTGAAGTTTTCGGATTGATGAAAAGAAATCACAATTTCCGTCAAGAAAATCGTTGACTGGGAAATTGCAGGAGAGAGAGAGAGAGAGAGAGAGAGAGAGAGAGAGATGTGGAAATATTCTAAGCGGCAAATTGAATGCTCTTCTTTTTTTATTTTTAGTGGTAATTGTTACTCCGTCGTTTCAGAATGAAAACTTAAAGGGATTTATTACGTTTCCTTTTTTAAAGGATTTTTCGTTATTTTTATAAAATTTAATCTCTTTTAAATTTCTTTTGAACGGCCCTCAGTATCTTTTAATGATTGCAATAAATAAAAATAGGGTTTAATTACTTTTTGTGAAAAAACTATTTAAATTATTTTCTAAGTTGTCAATAAATTTAAAAAATTATAAGAGGGTAATAAATTCATATTTTCTAATTATTTATCTATTATTTAAAAGGTTTAGATCATTTTGATCATTTAACTTTTGGTTTTGTGTTTATTTGGTTGTTTAATTATTTTTGAAGTTTTAAAAAGTCATAAAACTCTTGATTTTGTGCTCATTTAGTTACATAATTCTTGGTTTGCTCACATTTAGTCACTTTAACTTTTAAATTTGTGCTCATTTAGTAACCTAATTTTTAAAATTTTACTCATTTAGTCACTAAACTTTTAAAAAATTGTAAATTTTTAGTGACTAAATGTGACATCCCCAAAATCTCGGCCAGAAAAAACCGATTTCATTTATGCTTTTTAAAATAATTTTCAGAGTAAATCCTTTTAATTTTAAAAGAGATGCGGAATTTGTTCCCAAAAACAAAACATGATAAAATAGATATTTATCAAAACATTTCATAAAGAAATATGATTTCATTTCATAATCAAAAGTCGGGATGTCATATTCCGATACAGATCATAAAGCATAAACGATAGCATTACAAGTCTTTCAACAAATATATACATATACAGACTTGTAAACAAAACAACTTGATGTTCGCCCATCTTAAGCTCTTGCGCCACTTCCTGTAAAATAAATCAACTGAGTGGGTCAGGCTTGGGAGCCTGGTGAGCATATAGGGTTTTCAACCCACAATAAATAATTAAATTAATTATTATCAACCAACAATAACCCAGTTACCCATTCCCATTATTCTCACTTTATGTCCCTAAAATAACTAACACAAGGGACCTAGTCTAAGAATATTTCATCGGGGCGACTACACATGCTTTGGGGGTTCCTCGGCAATATAAGTCAAATAAGGCAACCATGGGGGGATGGAATACAGCGAATGAACACCCAAGTTCATTAACACCTACAGGTTATGAGCTTGCTAGCGTTCCACTGGACTGTCTAGAAAAGTCTGTGGTCGTCATCTAAATTCCGCTAGATGACTGGATCAAAACAACATCGAGGCCTCTCATCTGTTTATTACACACCAACTATCTACCCATATTCTACCCAACATATTAGTAGATAAAATATACATTTTTATACGTAGTTTCAAAACCTGTATAGCATGCTCAATCAAAACATTTTTCACATAACAGATGAGGCACACACACATAACACGTATTTCATAGAGAAATAATCAGATCTATAAGATAGAAGAGAGTGAGTATACATTCACATATATAACAACAAAATATATACACATAGCACGTATTTTATATAAAATACTTCATAATATTGTGTTGGAATGAAAGTAACTACACACTCACTTGATCAGAAGATGATCGGGCAGCACTACGGCTTGCAGAAGAGGTGTTTCTCCGTAGATCAGGAAGATCTTCACAAAACCGGGCTCCTCGCGGGCAGCGTTTCGGCTCGGGAATAACGCTCTTCGGGATTCTCGGGGCTTCGGATCTTGCTTCGGGGCTCGGGAATATTACCGGGGCTTCGGGGTATAAACGGCATGCAAAACGAGGCAAAACTTAGAGAGAGAGAAGAGTTTGAACAAGAGAAAATGGCTGAATTCGAGTTCTATTTATAGGCTGCTGGGTCTGGGATTACGCGGGGCGTACTCATTACGCGGGGCGTACTTTGATGTCACTGCGTGCGTCGACTGGTGGCACTCGAGTATTGGTCAGACAAGTTGCATCCGACTGAGTACGCGGGGCGTACTCAAATTACGCGGGGCGTAATTGACTTGTCAATTTTCTAAATTGCGTAACTTTCGCATACGAGCTCCGTTTTCGATGTTCTTTATATCCACGCGAAGTTCAGACCATACTCTACAACTTTCATTTAGACTCCATTGGCTAATTTTGACTTTTATTTTTATTATTTATTTTTAGAAGGTCGGGACAGAAAAACTTCGTTATAAATTCATAACTTCTTCGTCTGACGTCCGTTCTCGCCTAAATTTTCATCGTTTCGCTTCTAACAACGAGATCTTCGATTCTCATTTAGATTGTTTCGGCTAAAAACCGCTCGATCTCAAATCGAGTATTCGGGCTGCATACTGCCACGTCGAAACTTCAGAAAATCATAACTTCCTCATACGAAGTCAGATTTGGGCGTTCCTTTTATGCACGCTCTCGGTTTAACGAAATCTACGACTTTCATTTAGATTGTTAAGGCTAAATATTGCTCTATCTTAAATTCATATTTTACGTCGCTCGGCGTCGTACCGGTTCTGTCTCGAAACTTCGACAGGGCATAACTTCTTCGTTATAACTCGGATTTTGGCATTCCTTATATCTCCGGAATCCTTGTTTCAACCACTACAACTTTATGCAAAGATGTCGGGCTTATCTCACACTTTAATTTTGACGCTTATTTTATTCTTAATTCATTAAATTATAAAAATCAAGAAAATAAACACATAAATCACATAATTCACAAATAATACATTTTTATTATTTCAAATTTAGTTACAAAGGTTAACCTAGACTATTACATTGCTAAAAATGGCAAGCCCAGAAACACAGGCGTTACACTAAATGAGCACAATTTTAAAAGTTAGGTGACTAAATGTGACCAAACAAAAAGTTAAGTGGCTAAATGAGCACAAAGCCAAAAGTTTGATGATATTTTAAAACTTAAAAAGAGTTAAATGACCAAATAAGCAGAAAACCAAAAGTTAAGTGACCAAAAATGACCTAAATCCTTATTTCAAATTATATATTACCCGTGTTTGTTTTTTTATTAGTGACAAATTAAATATCTTTCTATATTTTCTTCATACTTATATTTCTACCTATGTGAAATAGTAACAAGTGTTATATTTTGATAAAATCTCCATATTTTTAAAAGAATCATTTATGTCTTACATGGCAATTTCTCAACCCCTTTCACACAAACTGAAATACCAAATATGCCCCTTTTCTCGTTTAAAATCACAGTGTAGTAATTTGAAGGTTTATTCCCCAAAAATCATGTCGCCTACATTTTGGAAACTAGATATTAATTTAAATTTTAAAATTCTCAAATCCCTCATCAAACGGAAATCTTCTATTCAGCCTCTAATAACTATTAATCAGCAAGATTTCTTCAATCAGCTGATAAGGAGAAATCACAACTTTTATATGATTACAATTTCACCTCTTTGACCAATAACGATTGCAGCTGTTACTAGAAATGATTTAGCCTTAAACTCGCCCCACGACGATTATTTTTGCTGATTAGTTCTTCAATTTTTTATTCCGATTTTGTTTTGATTTGGTTCTATAATTTTCAGTTTATAAATGTTCAATTTGTTATCATAGTTAACCAATTTGATTCAGTTGTTTATAAAAAATGGCATTCTATCTTGGGTTTCATTTGTTGGCATTGATGTTATGTTAGGTTGTTAGGCACATCAAACCTAACAAATATAAGGGTACAAATCGACTCCAAATATACTACTATAATGCACTAAATAGTAATACAAGGTAAGAAGGGTTGATTCTGAGAGATAGGGAACAAAAGTCTATAACTATTTGTGTAAGGTACAAAAAATGGTCATAGAAAAGGGGGTTTATGTGCAATGATTTAAACAAGAGAATAAAGGAATAAGTAAATGATAGATTAAATGAAACAAATTCAAGATTTATGAGGACTCCAACTTTATGCATGACAATTTAGCAATGTGATTCCAATGATGATACGATATCTACTCAATTATACCTAAGTTGGTACTTGAAAGTGTTAACAAGCTCTAACACTTCCCATTCACCAAGCTGTCAAATTCAAAACAAGCTCTTTGAAAATAACATAACCTTCTAATTTAAGTCTAAACAATCTCTTAGATAGAAATCAAAAGGTTGCAATGATGTTTATGTGAAGGTTCCCAACAACACCCAATACTCCTCACAAGCTCGGGAGCGTAAGACTGTGTGAATAAGATTTACACTAAATTCATTCAATGGAACTCAATTTAGTGCTTGTTATTTAGTCCAATTTACAAAACAATTACAAATTTTGCAATTTAGATAACTTTTTTGATCTAAACCTAATTTAAATGACCAAAAAGAAATAAAATTAGAATCAAACATTCGACTGAAAAAAAATAAATTCACTAGATAGAAATTGAAAGCAAACATCAAGTCATAAGATTGAAATCACAACCAAAGAGTCAAAACATAAAGTTGGAGAATCTAGGGTTCTAGCCACACATGACTAGAGCAAGATATCAAGTCTAGAAAATGAAATTAAAGTGCTTACAAAATGAAATCAAATATTCCCAAGTATTAATCAACTCCAAAAGTCTCCACAAAATCGCCCAAAGTACTCCCAAAATCGATCCCCCAAAAAGTGAAGTCAGCTGCCACTTTTTAGAAAATATGCGAAACTACTACTAAACCCACGTCCACGTTTCCACGACCCACAGAAACTTACGCTGTCATTTACATGGCCTGTGGAAAAACAAAAGGCTAGATGCAGCAGGTATATTTCCATGGCGCATGGAAATTCAAGGTTAAAATTTATGTGGTCGTGGAAATCTCTAACTGTGATATTTCTTTAATTTTCTGCAACTTCTTCCTTCGTGACCCAAAAGTCGTGGAATCTTTTCTGCACCTTCTAGCTATTTACCTCCCTAAGTGAGATCATAGATTGTGCGAGTGAAATAATATCATGAAATATCCCGAAAACATGTTAAATGCATGGAGTTAAGTCTAAATGCAATACAATGGTGTGGAATAAAGGTGAAAAATAGGTGTATAAAATGCACCTAACATAGGCCAACTTGGTTTTAGTTATCGGATTTTCGATAAGGTTTGAGCATAGTTGTTTATTTTATTGTTTGTTTGTTTAATCTTATATTCTATCTA